GATGAAACCTGCCTAGTGATAAAGTGGTTAGAGGTGTCAAAATGCCCCGTGGGACCGCGTTTCCGTACAATGTTTTAGGGTTTGAGGCGGGACGAGGGCAAGGAGTCCTGATCATACCCCGTTGGGGCCCTGATATAATTATCATATATTTAACTATTTATTTTTTGAAAAAAAAATATTAAACTTAGAGTAACCATTAAGTAATATATATATATATATATATATATATATATATATATATATATATATATATATATATACTAGGTAAGTTTTGAGGCTCGTGCTAAGCACGACCTATTGAAGGATGATATGTGTATTTTTAAAAATTATTGTAGAAGATTATTATTGGATGAACTTTCATAGAAAAATATATTGTTAAACGAAAATAAAAATGCAACGTTGTAAGAAGGTAACCCAAGAATATAGTAAAAGCATAGTTTAAGTCTTTAAGAACATCCTAGGAGTTTCATAGTACAATGCCTTAATAGAAAGAAATAAGAGTAGCATGCTATTACACAAATAAACGAAAGTATGTTGCTATATCTTGCATACAGTTAGAACTTCTTTCCTATTCCCCAACACGTATTTATAAGTATCATTTAATAACTATAAAGGCTAATTAAATTTACCTTTACCGATACTCTTAGACTTACACCTACATTGATTAGTTAATTAGATGAATAAAATATGCTTATAGATTTTCTCAATTTTCTAACTATAAAGGTTGGTTAGTTAATAGTAGAATTTATATATAGTCTGTGTTGTTGTTACAAAAAACAAGTTTAAAGCTCACCTTATCATAAGGGGGAATCATGTTACCATAAAGTCTCACCTTGTTCGTAGTCCATGGTGCCTATATTGTGCCATTTTGAGGGTTGCAACACCAATTTGTATGTTCCTTCGTATGTTCCTAGTTAAACAATCATGCCATTGATTTTATTCATATCCCTTGTTATCTCTTTTTCATCACCAAACCTAACAAATGCATACCATTTTGAACTCAATAACTATTAAAATATAAAGTTGTAATTTAGATCAAAATCATCAAAAAGGTTCATGTCATTACAAATTAGATGAGAGTTGTATTACAATTTTCCATTCCTTTAGGTGATCAAATCATGAAAAACAAACACCTCTGGAATGAAAATTAACAACTTCGATGATCTATCAATTTCTTAGTGGGATATGATAAGCCAACAACAGTTGGCATAATTGTATTGCAAGAAGCCAATACATGCTGAAAACAATGAAAAAATATAAAATGATTGTTTAACAAATCTAAATTTAGATGCCTTCATAAGCACAAGGGTTTACTTTCATATACCTGCTCCTCAACCTATGACACCATCATCAGTTCATCACCACTCAAATTCATCGTTTTGTCTGTTCTTTACAGAACCAGTATCTAAATTAACTTTTTCTTTCTTTTTTGGAGCCCTTATCAAAGCTTTGTAAAAGTATTTTTTCAAGGACAAGTTTGGATTGTTTACCTGATTAATGGAAAACTCAAAATACATAACATATATACAAGTTTCTTCCAAGAATATATCTTCTCATATCAAATTGATAAGGTCGGAGGGTGCGTGCGGGAAGCTTCTCTCACTTTTTGTCTGTCACGCCATCATTTCCCCCATTTTTCTTTCTCTCACCAAAAGTCAGAGTGTGTGTGGGAAGCTTCCTTTACTTTTAAAATAATAATAATAATAATTGATTTTTATGATTTATAATTTTTTTAAATGAGTAATAAACATAAAATTGATTAAAAATAGAAACCATTACATTAATTAAAATAAAAATTACATAAAAAACCTAAGATTTAAATAACTAGAAAAAAAACAGTCTACGAAATTTTTTTTTGCATAACCCGCTCATTTTTCTTTAAAGCGAGCTCCAAAGTCGGTCCCGAAAGATGGTTGGTGTTTTCCATCAAGAATCTCATATCCTCCATTTCTCGTCTCTCTGCGTGCTCCTTCTTTTTTGCTTCTTCTTTTTCTTTGTCGGACGCCAAACGTTCAACGAAATTAATATTATATCGATCAAATGTCTCCGTCATCTTCTGCATTTCGTCCGCGTCCATGCTGAAATTCGATGCACCCAAAGAAGTCCCTTTTCCCTTCCTTTTTGCTTTGTCCCGACCCATCGGTCGGCCGATTTCTTCTAGCTCGAGTTCGTCCTCCTCATTTAAATCTAGACCGACCCGTGCATCGGAGGAAGTTGTGTAAACCACTAGAGTCTGTTTTTGTTCGCTTTGATTGTTGTACTGCAAGTATAAAGTCATGCTCGTATTTTTTCCACCTAGGACTTTTAATCAATATTCTCCAACAATTGTGCTACTTGAAAGGCTTTCCCACTCCCTCTAGATAAAAATACAAAGCTTCCTGAAGTATTTCTTCATCTCATTGGCTGCTTTTCCGTTGGGTTTTTAGGTTGTTGTACAAATCGTTTATTTTTGAAACGGCATTCGCTATTTCTCGAACCTTTGAATTCAATTGATGATTGGTATGGTACTCGTCACCTTTTCTCATCTCCCTACGAAACCTCTCAAGAATGCGAAACCAAAAATGAAACCCCGGTTGTGCATTTCCCGTCGCCGAATCCTCTGAAATGTCAACCCAAGCTTTTACCACAATTATCTCTTCTTGTAGAGTCCATGCTTGCGGCTTCTGTCTTCCCGGTTGTGCGACACATTCATTCACTTGTTGTTTTCCTTTCCGCCGTTGGGGGGTGATGTGGGTTGAGTTTCCCGTACAACCTCTTCATCCGACTCATCGAAAATTTGGTATTGTGGTTGAGATTGAGAGGGTTGTGTTTGGGTTTGGGTTTGAGATTGAAAGAGTGGGATTTGAGTTTGGGGTTGATTTGGCGAAAGTTGATCAGGAAAAAGAACAAAGTTTGATAACATATTTGGAGTAACATTTGGAACTTGCACCGGGTAAAATTGTCTAACATTTGGTATTGGAATTGTAGTGGAGATTGAAGGGTAGCATCGAGTTGTGGACGATAAACCCCTTGAGATGAATCGATAGCGAAAATGTTTCAATTTGAGGTGCTTGAACTCGAAACATTGATTTTTTTTTCTTCTATCGGAGTTTGGAGTTTGGTTGTCGGGATTCATTTTTTTGAAGAAAGTAGAGAGAAATTGATAGAAGGATGTGAGTTTGAAGGTTAAAATATGTGTATATTTATAGATGCTGTAAACGGTAAAAAAATTAAAAACTTAATTTTTTGATATGTTGCTGTTAAGTATAAAAAAAAATACCGTTTTTCAACAGGTGGATTGGAAAAAAAATTAATTTTTTTATTTCTTACCGTTTTTCAACCGTTCAATTGGAAAAAAAATCGGCCAATAAAAGCAAGAGAGACTGCAGGAATCCCTCCCCCCACCTCCTCCCCGCACCGGCGTTGCCGCACTCCTGGTGCGGTGTTCCGGTGAGCGGAAAAGGGTCCCGCTGCCCTTCCCCCGGCGCTCCATCGGGTCTAATAGATTTCACTTGTGATTTTGTAAAGTCAAACCTAGAACTTTCCAAATTGTAATTACTCAATGATGATAGTCGAGTATGTGTTCTAATATGAAACCCTTTTTATATAATAAATGCAATTAAGAATCTCTCATAACAGTGAACACAAGTCTTATGAATTTTCCAGTTAAAACCTAACAAGATAATCAAATTAACTAACCATCGTCAATCCTTTACGTCAAGAACAAGTTAAAATTATGTAATTTCATTATATATAAATCTCTCATTTCGTCCCGTTAACATCAGATTAATATTATAAAGCCCTAAATTTTTAACGCGTAATTGGAAAAAGCCCTGATATTTTTGTTAATATTGCTCTGGCCACAACTTTCTCGCAGAATTATCACTCTAGCCCACTTAACAAGTTTCATGGTTAATTTGGTTAACTTTTTTTGCAAAATCAGTCCTAAAATGTTCAAATTTGGTCCCTGATGTTTGCAAAAAATTACACCATATGATTTTCT